AACAAGAGTAGATTACTCTTGTACTCTAAATAATACTTGTTTGTACAGCACTCAACAGCTGTAATGTAAAAATAGACAATACAGTGTAGGCTATTTGATTTAATAAGAATCTTAATTAGCTTTAATAAAATGAATTCCTTCATAAATGTTAATAAAGTAATACTATATAATAATTGATTGCTAGTGATATGATTTATTATCGATCTAAATTCTTTTACTTGGCTACAGCACATTTACTATGCTTAAAAATCCCACTTAAAACCAATATAAACATAGGATGATACAGCCAGTGTAGCGCAACGATTGACAGCAGCGCCTCTTGCGGCAACCTCCAATATAGGGACAGAAAATAAACTCGATTTCGACACTATATTTTCTAGCCACTGTACCCTGACTATATTAATACTGTTCCCTTTCTATCACTATAGGCCTACTGTATTTATTTATTTAGTACAATAAAGATAAAGATAAACAACATAATTTTTATTCTTGTACTTTTTTTTCAGGATAGGAATGGATTAATTGAATATTAGTTATTTATTATGAGAAAAATTGTTTCTATATTCATCATATTTCATATTCATTAGGTCCTTAGGAACAGATTAATGATGGATATAAAGGTTCCACTGTAATTTTATTTTTGAATATAATTTGTATAAAATTATTGATATTTTTGCTATTTAAATTTTTATTGGTTTTATTTTCAATTTATTCAATTCATTAGTTTTATACTACTAAGAATAGCAAATATACAGTATTTAAATTGATTACAAAAATTGCTATTATGACTTATATGATTTTTGTATTTATGCTGTTGAAGCTTATAAATAAGATACATCAACAATTAATTAATGGAAACTTCTTGGAAACTGACATTAAATTAAAACAAATGTTAACATAGGCTAATTAATATAAGCAGTATATAATTTGGCTAATATTTATGTAATTGGATTGTGTTTACAATCTCCAGCATTTATTTCCTATCTCTTAGAATCAGTTTCTCTTTTAAAGAAAATTTAACAATGATGATTGTAAATGAATACAAATGATTAAGTGAAGGTTTGGTCTACTATTAGTTTAGTACTATATTTATTTTTGTGATGATGCCAGTTTTCTTGCGGTATCTTTGTTTTTTTACATATCCTATTTTTTTTCCTATCCAGAATAATCATCAACATTTCTTCATTTTTTTTTTCTTTTATTTGCTTATTATAGATATTATTGATTGATTGATTAAAACGTGTTTATCTTTTATAAATTTTGTACATTCAATTTTTATAATATATATTTAATATTTTATTAATGTTTAAGGTATAATTCTGTAAGCTATGCTGTTTGTTTCTATGTGGCTTTTTGTAAGATTTTGAAATGCCTGATTTATAGTAGTAACATAATGAACAAAATATTAAATATATCCAGTTTTCTTATTTCTAATGTGCATATTATTTTCAACTTTTCAATTTTAGAAGTTGGGATGTGCATTAGAATAAGATGCAAAGTTGACTTAATACAGCCTTGCATATGTTGTTTGCTCTTTACTCTGCTTTGCAAATCCTATGTATTATGACTGGTATTGACATGGTACACATCCCTCCTACTACTTTGGTTTTAAAACTTCTTTCTTGGCAGGTCATCTAGCCTTGCAGTCATACTCTAGAAGTGGCACACTTCTAGAGTATGGCATCACATGGGGTTGATGTCCATGCCTCAATGGCACACTACTGAGGCATGGACATCAACCCCATGTGATGCCAGTTTTCTCAAGATATCTCCACTTGTCTTATATGGGTTATGTTACTTATTGTCCATAGTAAAGCATAATCCTGTGTTGTTTTTCTTTTTTCCATGATATCTTTTTGTGAAGTGTCTGTCATGAGTTGTTTTTATGCTGCTTCAAATTCTAGAAACACTTGATTTTCCCACACAACTACTTTTGCAATTTTCATGAATCATCATCTCTTTAGTCTCTTTCAAAGTAATAATTTTGGAATGCTTTTGGGAAGTGATACCCATGTTTACACAAGAATAAAAAAATGACAAACCAAAGAACAGCTTAAGTTTTATATTTCTTGAAAAGTATCCAAGATTATATACTATTTTTAAAAATTTTATTAATAATTACTTTAGAGGTTAAATTAAATGTAGTGATTTTGCAAATAAATGTAGATAATTATCTCTGAATAAGGATTGAATAACATATATCAATATTAAAAAATTAGTTTTAAATTAAAAAAATTCAAAAAGTTGAATAAATTTTTCAATAGACTAAATATAAGGAAAATATTTAAGATAATGCAAGATAGAATGTAAAGATCTATAAAAATAAAAAAAATAATCACTGTTCAAAAAACAAATCAAAAAATAATCACTGTTAGTATTTTCATATATGTTATGATCCTAAATGTAAGGAAATGATTATATAAATTTATTTGCTTAGTGATTTTTCAGTAAATGAAATGAAATTGATATTTGGAAATAAAAATGTTATCTACAGTTATTTGATTAAAATATGATATAAAAATACTAGTTATCACAGTATTTCTATTCTTAATAAAATGTATATTTAATAAATAATAAAATATTCAAATGTTTTGCCTATAGTACAAAGATTTTATCCTCCTGTAGTAGCTAGCAAGCCTGCATATTCCAGTACTAATGTCTTTCCTGCTGCTCGTCAAGCAACAGGACAGAAAACTCCAACTGCTCCAGCTGCACAGACAGGATCAACTACTTCTTACCTTTACTCAACTGGAGCAACAGGAGCAACTTCATCAAATTATACCACTTCATATAATACTGCAGCTGTCACCACGACATATGCAGGTAAAAAAAAGTAACTTTTTCATGAATATATTTTAAATTGAAATTTATATTTTTTCAATTCCAAATTATGCTATAAAGTGATAAAACTGCCAACATTATTGAAATCAAGCAATCTATAAGAAACATTTTCAATTTATTTGTTAACCCATCTTCATCTTTTTTAATGCTGAAAGTGGATTGATCAATTATCATTGACAAATTTCTAAACTATATTTGATAAACTCTAAAAACTCAGAGGATTCCTTTTGCTTTCTTCATTCTTTTCTCTTCTTGAACAAATCTGTTGTATTCTTTTTGTTCCTTTTAAATTCAAATTTGAAAAAAATTTTTGTTATTTTTTTTGAATGCATATGTAAATAAAAATCCTTGCACATTTGTATTTTAGATTTCTTTATTTCATTTTGTTACTGACAAAAGTTTTGTCATTTTATATAAAGTGATGGATATGTTATCATCTAAAACAGAACAGTAAATAACATATAATGAAGTTATATATATATATATATACAGTAGAATATTGATTATCTGAATCAATTGGGGATGGGGGTTGTTTGGAAAATTGATTTTTTGGATAACTGATTATGTACGAAAAAATATATTAACCTATCCCATGTTGAAATTCGTTCAAATTCTGGCACATCCTTAAGTACCCTATCATGGTCGCTCCAGTGCTGCCAGCAAAAATATGCACAACAACAAATATAATAATGGAGTAGCCCAAGACAGCCAAAGATTGCAGCGCCACAGCACTAGTGGAAATTTAAATTTGCCAACTGGAAAGCTTTCGGTTAATTGATGTTTCAGTTGATCAACATTTGGATAATCGATGCTCTACTGTATATAAAACTAATTGGAATAATAATAGAATAAAAAGTATTTTATATTGAAAAAAGTTTTAATAATACTCTGAAGTTATATGTGTAAGAATTTATATTTTATTTATGTAATTAATAGATTTGAGAAGTTTTATTGATGTTAAAGAGAATATTAGTTTTTTCCCCTTAATTATAATAAACCAACAATCAATTGCAATGTGAGGCTGCTAAGACAGTTGTATATAGGTGCTTTCTAATGGTGTCTTGATGTTCCTTGATTCTAATGCTCAACTATCTATAAGTTCCAATATATTTGTAGCTACAGTCTGCTCTGTTGTCATGAGTAGACCTTAGTGTCATCTCATCAGTATGATTTTTATCATTTCTGAGTAATGAAAAAGTAGTAGGGCCCGTTCTGTATGTGAGTTAGAGAGGTTTGTTGTTTCCTTTAAGATTTTGCATAAAACTTTGTTGTAGGCAACATTCCTAAATGGTCTATTATCATTGCCTCTCAGATTAATTTGATTGCAATAACAATGTTTGATGGTCTTAATAAACTTTGGTTGGTAACTATGGGCTACAGGTGTACAGAAGATATGTTGTCGTCCCTGTTCCCTGAGTTGAGTGTCAGAACAATGATGTACATTCTTTTATCCAGGGCTTTGAATGCCTCTAGCTTATAAAAAAATGGATCAAGCAAAGATGGAGGAATGAATAATGGCATGTTAGGACTTCTGTGGTAAATATTGGTAGAGAGAAAGTCGTGACATATAGTGAGTGATAAACACATCAAGGAAGTGAACCTGATAATCAGTTTGTTGTTCAAGGCTTACTACTGTAAGCCATATGGATGATTGTTAAAGCTGTTCAGGAATTCTTGGATGGGAGGTTCACAAGACCACTCATGCCTGATTTAGAAGAAACTGTCAGTTTTACCTTATTTTGTATTTTTTTTTTTTTTTATTTTGGGATGAAAACTTTTTAAAAATATTTTAATTATCTTTTAAATTTTATAGTAAGACTTCATCAATTGTGCTTATAGTCTTGAAGTGTATATTGTTTGAAATAAGGAATCAAAAATGATGTGTTTAAGTCCAATGGCAATACAATTTAATGATATTTTAGGAAGTGGTCTTACTCTCACCATCCTTCTCAGACTTCTTTGTTATTTAATTTGAATCAAAGGTGAAAAGCTGCTTATAGACTTTTAGTTTAAATTAAGAGATGATATTAAGTATTACAGATTATTTACTGTTTGTCTCAATTGTATATTTAACTTTTTAATTTTGTGTAGTTACATAAAAATGTTTAATAATATTGCTCGTAATTATTGACTATAAATGGTCATTATAGTAAAATTTATCAGTAGCAAAATAAGTGAAAGTATTTTTTTGGAAAAAGTATGTGGATTATTCAAGTAAATATATCTCTTTTTAAGTTTCTTTTCCTGAATATTTTTATTAGTACAAAAATTGGAATGATTATTTTGTATAGTGAACTTAAATAGAACAGTGATTTATAATATTTTTTTATTTACCTTATATGAATAATTATCATTGTTTTCTTTTAAGTATCAAATTTTCTATAATAATTTGTGAAAAAGCTTGTTGTATAATCAAAAATTAGAGAGATTTTTTTCTAATTTTCAAATTTTAAAGAAGTTAAATTTTTTATGATTAATTACTATTTAACTATGCATATCTGGTGAATTGGCCTACATTTGATTAATATCAAATTAAATTTATACATCATTTTTTAATATAGAAATTAACAAAATGTATTTTAGGTAATAAATAATATAGCCATCTTCACATTAATCATAATGTGAAATATTAAAAACAAACTCAACAATAAATATTAAGACAATATCATATTTAATAAATTTTATTAAATTACAAAAAAGAACATTCACAAATTTATTTGTTCTATAATAACATATTATATTTATATCCTTAATGTTAATACAATAATANATAATGAATACTGATTGGTCTTCCCTTGTTTTCAGACAACAATTCAAAACTTTTTGGTTATATCCTTAATGTTAATACAATAATAAGTAAATGTTGTCAAAAAAAATGATAGAAAGTGTGTTCAGTTATTCTTAAAAAATTTTACCTTTTCTTACATTTAAAATATAAAATAATTTAGCAATTAAGTAAGCTGGGCAGAATCAATTTTGTTGTCATCTATATGTAATTATTGTCCTATAGTCAGACTTTGACATACATTAAAACTTTTATTATGTCTGTTTCAAAAAATTTAGTAAATTATGTACTTTATAAGATTAATGCATTATTTGATTTTTTAAAACAGCTTCTTTGTATGTCCAGCAACCAACTGTTGCTGCTCAGTCAGCTACAGTAGGTGTTGCTCCTGCTGTAGCGCCATCTATCCAGTCATCGGTTACCAGTACAACTATAGCAGCCCCTAAAATACAAACAAATAATTGGGCTGCATATAAGAAAGGTTTAGGATTAAAACCTCAAAAACCAAAATTACCTCCCAAACCACAGCAACTTCATTACTGTGAAGTTTGTAAAATTAGTTGTGCAGGTCCACAGGTAAGAAATTTAACTGAATTTGACTAATTTTTAATCTTTCATTAATAAAGTTAAATGAGAATATTTTTTAAATAGACTTACCGGGAACATTTGGAAGGACAGAAACATAAGAAAAAGGAAGCTGCTTTAAAAACTGGAAATACTATTAATCCAGGAGTTAGAGGTGGAACTTCCTTAAGATGTGAACTTTGTGATGTAACATGCACTGGGTCCGATGCATATGCTGCTCATATTAGAGGAGCTAAACATCAAAAGGTATGTCTATCATATCAGATTTTATTGTGTGAATATATTTTGAAATATCTTTAATATTTACTTAAATATTAGCATTAGCATAGATTAATTTTGAATAAATATTAAATTTTCAGGTTGTTAAGTTACATACGAAATTAGGGAAGCCAATTCCATCAACTGAGCCTGTTGTCGTTTCTAATGCTACAAATTCACCACTTAGTACTACTGCTCCAAGTAATTCAAAAAATGCTGCATCAAAAGCTGCCACAGGTAATGCTGGAATAAAAACTACAACAACAAACAGTGTTGGTGTAAAGAAAATAGTAGCTACACCAAAAATAACTTTTGTTGGTAGGTCATTTTAATGCAGAAAATTTCACTCCTTATGTACATTAAGTTTTTTTCTTATAGAATGTTATTTCTCAGGTGGAAATAAGCTAAATACAACAAAAGCAGAAGAAAAACAGGATGAAATGAAAGATGAGGGTAAATATAAAATATTTTTTAATAGTATAAAATTTGTTATTCTGGATGTAAAATAAGTTTTATTTTTCTGCAGATAAATCTGATGCTTCAAAACTAGATAATAAACCAGAAATACAACCAGTAGGTAGGTATTGAAAGTTCTTCATAGTAATAGAATTTATTTAATAAGCTTTATAGTTTTTTTAATATGAAAAGTAACAATTTTTTAAAGGCCTTTATGTATTCATGACATTTAAAATTTTGGTTAAATATAACTAGTTATGAATTTTATTTTAGGACAAGATTATATAGAAGAAATATGTAATGACGAAGGAAAAGTGATTAGTTTTCAGTGCAAATTATGTGAATGTCGTTTTAATGATCCAAATGCTAAAGAAATGCATATGAAAGGTCGCAGACATCGACTACAATACAAGGTATACTCAAAAGATGATTGATTTTTTTTTTTTTTAAATAAATTTGTAATCTTTTTAACATGAAATAATTAAAAAAATAAACATAATGATTTCTAAACATAAACCTGTTTAGAAATCATTAATTTCTAACGAGAACATTTTTCAGTCAATTTTAGGTTCAAATTCTAATCCAAATTTAAAAAGTAAATAGTATTCTTAACTAAATTTATCAAGTAAATAGAATATGCAAATATTGTTAACTTTGAAAATTGAATATTAAACAATAATACTATAAAGGAATTATATTTTTTACCATTTTAACTATATTATTATCCTACTTTAACCATATTATATTAACCCTATTTTATATTTTAACCATTTCATTAACTTCTACAATGTTTTATTGTTACATGAGAGATATTACATTATCATAAAGATTCTAGGTTTAATGAAGCTCATTCTTGTCATTTAACAATAGGATATTTTGAATATTCTATACAATAGTTTTCAGTGGTTGAGAGATTTTTTGATTTTTGTGTTTCATCCCTACTCTGGTATCTGAATACCTTCTACAATAAATGACATTTTTTTGGTACTTATTGAGATATCTAAATAAAACAATTTCAGTTTGATAAATATAATCAAAGTGCATTTGTAAAATATTTGAAAATTACACTAGTGTAAATGAGAATATGTTCTGTTCACAGCATCTGGCTTTTTTTCCATTGCTATCATTTTGTTCTACCACAGTTGTGTGGGATAGTTATCATCACAAAATTTTAGTACCTTCTACAAGTCTGTTCTGAACATTTCACTGCAGTACGTTTACTATCAGATTTGTTCATTTTTTATTATTTTGGTTTTATACAGTAGTAATATAAAATACAGTGGGTGATTGGCTAATGAACAAATTGGATAACAAACACTTTCGCGAAGGATTTTTATGTTCAGACAACGAACACCTCACAACAAACACAAGAAGTGATGTAAAATAATGAATACCAGTTGGTCTTCCCTTGTTTTCAGACAACAATTCAAAACTTTTTGGAGCATGGGAAATGTCGACATCGATTCTCAACCTGGTATATACTGATTGGATAGTATTCCTCCAAACTTTGAAACTCTCCCTTGTAATTCCAGTCTTTTATTTTTCTGACAGAAACAATTTTTTCATAGTATTCGCAAGACTGTTGGGCAGGCACTCGTTAAGTTTTCATTAGTTTTTATTTTCGAAAGGTGAGAGTATAATAGCAAAGGTAGAGAGTGGGCAAGCGTCTGTTGTTGTTGGGCAGTATGGCTTGAACAAGTCTACAGCAGGCTGCAGTTCAATCTTATCTAAGAAAGATACTGTATTATCAAAAAGACTCAAGCAGCTTAAGGAGTAACAGAAATCACATCTGAGAAATGAAGAACATTGAAGAGCTCATAATGGAACCTGAAACAGATCTGACGACAGAAGAACACCAAGAAACTCTGCGAGATATGTTTTCTTCTGAAAAAAAGAATTAATGTAAATATATGCTATTAAACATTTTTTGAAGAAGTGGGATGATGTCAGAACAACAGTCTTAGAATGGCATCCAAATCAGGTTGTAGTCAATAGACTTAGGAATCTCTACAATTACAATGCTATTAATTACTTCTGAAAAATCTTGAAGAAGAGAGAAAAGCAATTGACATTAGACGGATTCTTTAACGGGATATGATTGTATTTATTAAAGAGAGAGCTTTTGAAGATATATTTTTAATCTGCCCATTGCAGTATCAGATAATGGAAATTTATTATTATAATAGCTATCTTTTTATTCTTTAATTTGGATTTCAAATGCTTTGTACATATTTATCAATTAACAAAAATTTCTAAATATTTGTTGTTTATTTTTTGAAGTATTAAAGAAGTCATTGTAAAAGTTCAATGATTTTAACATGAGTCTTTAAATTTAGAAAAAAGTAAATCCAGAACTTGTGGTTGATATTAAACCAAGTTTACGTCAAAGAAAACTGCAAGAAGAACGTTTACGTCGACAACAAATGCAGGAGGAGTATTGGAAAAGACGCGAAGAAGATCGTTGGAGAGAAGAGATGCGGTAAGTACAGAGTTTTCTACTTTTAATATTTCTAGAAGACAGTTATAATTTTTCATTTTAGAATGATGGAAGAGGAGGAAAGAATGTATTGGGAAGAAAGGAGAAGGTATGAAGAGGAAATTGAATATTATGAATCTTTATACCGCAGATACGGACGGGATATTCGGATGATGCCTCTACCTCCACCACCACCCAGGCCCTTTCTTGGTCCTATTCCACCTGGACCTGGTGCATCAGGAGTAAGTATTTTTATTTTCTTATTTACATTTTTTAAAATATCATTGCATAACTAGATTTCCTTTGTAAATCAAAGATTATTTATTGTATATTGTAATGCGTAATTTGTAGTTTAATAGTGATAAAAATTACAGGATATTTAATAAGCCATATAGTTTTTGTATCTGATTATTTATTTTTAAATCTGTTATATAATGCAAAACCTAATGTACTTAGCACAAATTCTCATTTTTCATTCATTTGATAAACTTATTAAAAAGTTAAAACATTTCATAGCACCCAGAAACTAACAATTGCATTTACGAAATTGACTTCTATGATTTTTACCAGTAATTGATAGTGATCCTCCATAATATATCAAATTGCATTCTTGTGATTGTTGCAATCTATTATTTACACATTTGAAAAAGTGTTAGACTTAGAAATGCATATTAATCAACATGATATTTGTGTGCACTGTTTTTGATAGCTTTCATTTTATTTATTTGAGCAATTAACTTTTCAGAAGTAAATATACATTACTTTAGAAAAAAATAGATTTTTAAAAATCTTTTATTGTTAAAATTAACATTATTATATTCAATAAATGAGGATAACAAATAAAATAAAATTTGATTAGTTGTATAAAATAAGTAAATTAAAAGAAATTAATAAAATATTACAAATTTTGTGTGAAATTTTCTTTTTCACATATAGATGTCTTTAAATATTTGTAGTTTGTTCGCATTTCTTAACTTTCTTTAACATTTTTATAAAATATTAAATAAACTTTTGAGAAGTAACATTTTTAAAAGTGCTCTTCTTAAAATGATTTTCTCTTAACTTTTAACATATTGTAATATTATCATGGAGGAATTTAATATTTTTTAAGGTTTTAGATTTTAAGTGGGTATTTGATTTGGTTTTCTTTTTAGCAAAATTCATTCTGATGTAATGAAGTGAAAAATATTGAATTAGGAATTTTCTTTTATAATTTGTAGTTTTTGTATGAATTTAACTGAAATTGTACAAAGAATTCAAATAGGAAATAGAATATTTTATGTGGGTAACATTAATGTTATGCAAAATGGCAAATTTTGAATATTTCTTTTCTTTCAAGAGTTTACTATATCTGCAAATACTCATTTCCCTGGGTTTTGATGTCACTGCATGATTTTAGCTGCATTTCTAAGATACACTTAATTTAACATTGTNTCTTTTATTTTTCTGACAGAAACAATTTTTTCATAGTATTCGCAAGACTGTTGGGCAGGCACTCGTTAAGTTTTCATTAGTTTTTATTTTCGAAAGGTGAGAGTATAATAGCAAAGGTAGAGAGTGGGCAAGCGTCTGTTGTTGTTGGGCAGTATGGCTTGAACAAGTCTACAGCAGGCTGCAGTTCAATCTTATCTAAGAAAGATACTGTATTATCAAAAAGACTCAAGCAGCTTAAGGAGTAACAGAAATCACATCTGAGAAATGAAGAACATTGAAGAGCTCATAATGGAACCTGAAACAGATCTGACGACAGAAGAACACCAAGAAACTCTGCGAGATATGTTTTCTTCTGAAAAAAAGAATTAATGTAAATATATGCTATTAAACATTTTTTGAAGAAGTGGGATGATGTCAGAACAACAGTCTTAGAATGGCATCCAAATCAGGTTGTAGTCAATAGACTTAGGAATCTCTACAATTACAATGCTATTAATTACTTCTGAAAAATCTTGAAGAAGAGAGAAAAGCAATTGACATTAGACGGATTCTTTAACGGGATATGATTGTATTTATTAAAGAGAGAGCTTTTGAAGATATATTTTTAATCTGCCCATTGCAGTATCAGATAATGGAAATTTATTATTATAATAGCTATCTTTTTATTCTTTAATTTGGATTTCAAATGCTTTGTACATATTTATCAATTAACAAAAATTTCTAAATATTTGTTGTTTATTTTTTGAAGTATTAAAGAAGTCATTGTAAAAGTTCAATGATTTTAACATGAGTCTTTAAATTTAGAAAAAAGTAAATCCAGAACTTGTGGTTGATATTAAACCAAGTTTACGTCAAAGAAAACTGCAAGAAGAACGTTTACGTCGACAGCAAATGCAGGAGGAGTATTGGAAAAGACGCGAAGAAGATCGTTGGAGAGAAGAGATGCGGTAAGTACAGAGTTTTCTACTTTTAATATTTCTAGAAGACAGTTATAATTTTTCATTTTAGAATGATGGAAGAGGAGGAAAGAATGTATTGGGAAGAAAGGAGAAGGTATGAAGAGGAAATTGAATATTATGAATCTTTATACCGCAGATACGGACGGGATATTCGGATGATGCCTCTACCTCCACCACCACCCAGGCCCTTTCTTGGTCCTATTCCACCTGGACCTGGTGCATCAGGAGTAAGTATTTTTATTTTCTTATTTACATTTTTTAAAATATCATTGCATAACTAGATTTCCTTTGTAAATCAAAGATTATTTATTGTATATTGTAATGCGTAATTTGTAGTTTAATAGTGATAAAAATTACAGGATATTTAATAAGCCATATAGTTTTTGTATCTGATTATTTATTTTTAAATCTGTTATATAATGCAAAACCTAATGTACTTAGCACAAATTCTCATTTTTCATTCATTTGATAAACTTATTAAAAAGTTAAAACATTTCATAGCACCCAGAAACTAACAATTGCATTTACGAAATTGACTTCTATGATTTTTACCAGTAATTGATAGTGATCCTCCATAATATATCAAATTGCATTCTTGTGATTGTTGCAATCTATTATTTACACATTTGAAAAAGTGTTAGACTTAGAAATGCATATTAATCAACATGATATTTGTGTGCACTGTTTTTGATAGCTTTCATTTTATTTATTTGAGCAATTAACTTTTCAGAAGTAAATATACATTACTTTAGAAAAAAATAGATTTTTAAAAATCTTTTATTGTTAAAATTAACATTATTATATTCAATAAATGAGGATAACAAATAAAATAAAATTTGATTAGTTGTATAAAATAAGTAAATTAAAAGAAATTAATAAAATATTACAAATTTTGTGTGAAATTTTCTTTTTCACATATAGATGTCTTTAAATATTTGTAGTTTGTTCGCATTTCTTAACTTTCTTTAACATTTTTATAAAATATTAAATAAACTTTTGAGAAGTAACATTTTTAAAAGTGCTCTTCTTAAAATGATTTTCTCTTAACTTTTAACATATTGTAATATTATCATGGAGGAATTTAATATTTTTTAAGGTTTTAGATTTTAAGTGGGTATTTGATTTGGTTTTCTTTTTAGCAAAATTCATTCTGATGTAATGAAGTGAAAAATATTGAATTAGGAATTTTCTTTTATAATTTGTAGTTTTTGTATGAATTTAACTGAAATTGTACAAAGAATTCAAATAGGAAATAGAATATTTTATGTGGGTAACATTAATGTTATGCAAAATGGCAAATTTTGAATATTTCTTTTCTTTCAAGAGTTTACTATATCTGCAAATACTCATTTCCCTGGGTTTTGATGTCACTGCATGATTTTAGCTGCATTTCTAAGATACACTTAATTTAACATTGTTTCCTTTTCTTGCTTTCATTTCAAACTATTTGTTATATATAATTTTTATTAGTAAATTATTATTTGTATTGTGAATAGTAAAATTAAATGTTCAATAAAGAAAATCTATACTTTTATTTTAAAAAGTTTTTTGGGAATATTCCATAAATTTTTTTTATTTCATATAATTAAACAAATATTAAACATACTAAGGGAATTAAAATTAATTAATTAATTAATAAGAATAAATTAAAAAGTACAGATAATTTTAATTACATTAACTATGAATTCTTTGTTATTATTCTATGCAGATAATTTAGACAAAATTTTTCACAAAATATTTTTATTTTAATTTTCAACTTCAGTGTAGTTCCATACAGTGTATTATTGTTACTTTAACCCTCACACTGCAATATGTAATTAATTGATATCAGTTTAGCTTAGTGATATAAACATTTCAAATACAAAACTGTGTTATGAAATTGTTAAAAAAATTTTTTTTGCTTTGGCATAAAATTTAAAAATAAAGTATATTATCTAGACATTTAAAAAGTGATTTTAGGCTATTCATCAGCCAAATATGCCAAGCCTAAAATCAAGGACTCGATCATTCTGATGAACTTTTCTCTTCCCATTTTTAATGACTTGTTTAAATTATTTTTAAAATGAACAATTTTAAAATTAATATATTTTAAATATTAAACTGGATAACATATTTCATATTTAAATCTTTATTCCATAAAATGACATTTTATCTACGAAAATTTAATGATTCAGATGTTTTAAAAGTACTAACAATGGCTCAAGTCCTTCATACCATTAGTTTAAACTGTGGACTAACTGACTAAAAATTAAAACTCCTTTGTTTACCAATCTCTTCTAAATCTTATCTTATCTTTTTTTAAACACTGTTTTCCAAATTGCTGACATCTTATCAATGCCCTTATTTAATATCCTGTAATCTGAACTTTAGTCAAAATACATATTTGTTCCATATTTCAATTGTATTGATTGAAGAGAACTTTATTTTAAAGATAATTTATGTAAATTGCTGAAGATTGAGAGAACTCTCTGAAAATTGGGCAACATTTAATTGAAAAACAAAAACTTATATACATTTCATGTTTATTAGGTTTTTAACTTCTATGATTATTTAGACATTATTTCAGTTTTGCGAAAAATACAATTAACTTAAAAAGGAAATATATAAAGTTTATTGTTACTAAGTTTAGATTTTTTGTTTAAAGATTATATAGTCAACTAATTAAGAGTTTATTTTTCTGTATTCATGTTTATATCAAAATTTTTTTATAAATGTTAAAATATTTTAATTTTACTTGTAGAGTGGGCATTCAAGACGTCCTGATACAGTAGATGATCGTCACGTAATGGCCAAGCATACACAAATATATCCAAAGGAGGAAGAACTGAGTGCTGTACAGAAAATTGTTACTAATACAGAGAAGGCTTTAAAACTTGTTTCTGATTTTCTTGCAGAGAGGTAAATTTTAAGAAATATGCAGTTTAAAAACTTAATTTTGGAAATTCTTATATATTCGTTTTATAATTTAGCGATACTCCAAAACAAGACATTACAGTTTCTGTAAAGAAAGAAACTGTAGTGAAGAAAGACCCAGAAGCTTCAGCGAAAAAGGAATCTGAGTAAGACATAATTATTAAAAATTTATCAGAACCTATGACATAAATGCAATGTTATGTTTTATCAGTGCTCAAGAAAAAGAAGAAAACCAAGTCCAGCCACAGAGAGTTCTCAAAGGAGTTATGAGAGTAGGAGTTTTAGCAAAGGGTCTTCTGCTTACTGGAGATCTGTCAGTTCAGCTAGTTGTTATGTGTTCTGAAAAACCTACTAGAACATTATTAGAGAGGGTTGCTGATAATTTACCTAAGCAGTTAGCAGTGAGTAAAATTCTTGTATTTTTATACAGTAAGATAAATTTTAAATGCTAACATTTATTGACAAAATTTATAGAATGTTTCTGAAGATGCTAAATATGAAGTTAAAAGATGTGTAGAAGAAGCAGCGATAATGGTGAATTCTATAACAGAACCTAAGATATCCATCACAGTTACATTAACATCTCCTATAATGAGGGAAACGAGTGCGGGAGAAGGAGCAAATGCCGGTAGGACTGCAGCTTTTGTGTGTCGGACAGACAACTGGCTGCAAGTTTTGTTTACATCATTGATTCTTCATTTTAAGTAAAAATTTGAGAGCACGCTTGGGATCAATATGTAAAGGGATACAATTAGCAACTATTTTTTAATATTCTTCTTAATTGATTTAATGTAATAAATTAAATAATTTATATTTTAATATAATATTTTAATGGAATTACATAGGTAATGTTAATGTTAAATAAATATAAAAACAAATCTAAGTAAATTGCTCTGTATCCCTTAAGTCATAATGACCGTCTGGTCCCCTGCAATTGCTCTATTCACTTTCCCCTCAAAAGAAAAAATAATAATAATGAATTAGAAAAGTAGTAGCCCCATAATTACCCAAAAAGAGCAAATTAGCTATAACTTTGTTTTTAATTTAATTTATAATCAGGGAATGCTCTTTTTGTGGATATATTTTAATTAATTAAGTAATTCTATTTGAAATTTATTATATGTAATGTAATTTATTAAATTTTTTCCAAAGTTTTAAATGAATTATGCCCATGGTGTTTTCACCATAACTTTTTGCTATTTTGAATTGTAATGTATATTTTGTTGTTTAGTACTATTGTCTAGAATCCTGTAGGTACCATCTCCGAGAGGGGAGAGTGCTGTGATGTTATGGCAGACTTGAAAGGATTTTTGATCATTGTAGGGATGTAATGGTGTGCTGCCTTCTTTCCTTTTTTTTTTCATTGTATTTTTTTTTCTTTTTTAATACAATTCAAAATAATTTTATAATGAATTGTGACTGGTTGTCATTTCTAGCTATTTTTAGACTGTTTCTACTGTCTTTTATTGATAATATGGACAATTAGTGATCTGTTCATAATGATTTTTTTCATTGTATTTTTTGGAAAAATTGTTTTTATTCATTACTTTTTTCTTCTTTACTACATCTACTTATTAATGTTTTTTAAGCTTTATGTATAACTCAATAAATTGATTTATTTAGGTAAAATCAAAATTAAAAAAAAATACTAAATGCCTTCAGGTTTTCTTATTTTTATCATTTTTAAATATTCTTTAAACGTTTATACTACAGAAATAGTTTACAAGGCATATTAATCTGCTACATAATTATTTTTCTACTTTAATATTAACATATAATTATCAGTCTAATTATCTCTTGGTTAAAAGAACTACAAAAATTATTACATCCTTTAACATGAATGACAGGTTCCAATATTGAAAGACAGCAATTAATCAAATTAATTTTCACTAATAAAAATTTTTGACATGTCATAATTCATCCTAAATAAGGAAATGATACTTGGACTATATCTGTACCCAAATAAGACATTTGTGACGTTTGTTATATGACTATTATGATCAGTGATGTACAGGACTTTGAGAATATGGTTGCTTGAATAGCATCCATATTCTCAAATATGGCAGGTTCTGGAGAGCTAAGGTACGAGTTTCATGTTGTTTTTCAGAGGATGTTATTCAATTATTTTATAATTAGTTGCTTACTCTTACTTAATTAAAGTCATGAGATGCACACTATTATATTTAAAGAAACAAAACTGATTGCTTTGGTATCAAGGAGGTGCTACAGCACCATTAGTACTTTCCTGGTTACATGCTTGATTAAGACAGTTCCATTATCATTATTGATGAAAAAATTTGTCAAATCATATTAAATCAGAAATATGTTATTTTCCACAATATTTTCTTCAAAGTTTGAAAAACATAATCCACATTTTGTCAATAGCATCTTTCATAATGCCAAATTTATTTATTGGAATATTTACAATATTAAGGAAGCCTACTAAAAGTTAATGAAAATGAAACTGGTTAACTATCTCTCTCCTTCTCAGCAACGTTAATTATAATATATNTTTTTTTCATTGTATTTTTTTTTCTTTTTTAATATATATTAAATTTGAATCTTCAGCTGTTTCAAAAAATCTTCTCTCTCTCTGTCTCTCTCCCTCCTTATGTTTTTTTCTTTAATCCTTTCTCTCTCCTCCTTCCTTGACATTTACCTCTGAATAATCCTGGCAGAACACCATCATCCTCATTAGGTCAAACACCCATTCTGTTTGTCTGCCTTCTGATATTGACCATCTTCTACCATCTGGTTTCTAGAGAGTGTAAAAGACCCGCCGGATGTGTTGGACAGGCAGAAATGCCTGGAGGCCTTGGCCGCCTTACGTCATGCCAAGTGGTTCCAGGTTTGCACTTCTCTTGCTTTTCAGCCTTATGTCTGTGTGCTTTATTATTTACTTCTTTCTTCCAATTACTCCAGATGACGATATCCTCTCCTTTTGGTGGGGATGATATATATTTATATATTTTTTTTTAATATAATAATTGAATTTAATATTTAAGTTCACTTCGGGTTTGTGTGAAATGCTTGACATGCCAAGAACGAAGTGTTAATGAGGCACCTTCGATGAAACTTACAGCCACACAATATAAATGAAATATTTATTTAGGGTCTAGCAGAAGTTAAACATGACTTTATAAGATGCTTAAAAAGTTTATTGTAAAAAATTATCTGGAGAGACTGATCATGGTTTTAAAATTTATCTTCTTTTGAAAAGAAAATATATAGTAATTACAAGTCTATATATAAACTGATCAAAAATTGTAAAATTTTTCTAGTTATTAATATTCATTGAAAACTTGTTGGAATCAGAATGTTTGTGTTTTAGGTACATTAGGCATGCACTGTATTTAAAGTTTCATGAACATAAGTAGTATAATGTAGTTAGTATGAATAGTATAATGTTGAGTAAATTTGAATCTTGAGTAATATGTATGACCCAGTAGTTATGCAGTGATACAATCAACAAATGACATAGTGATCTTCAGTTACAGGCAGTTTGATTTGATCTGTATGCATTATATTCTATAAAAATTATTATTTTTAAGTACATTAATACCTTGAGTTACATAACATGAGACTTAGGTAAATTTGCAGTTATGTAAAATGTAAATCTCAAAAATTGGAGAAAAAAACTGAGTAGAGTAACATGTAATTTTACAAAGAATTATTCTATTTCAAACATTCATTCATTCATTTTCTCTCTCTTCCTTTCTTTCTTTTGCACTGTACCTATTTATTACTTTAGTGTCCTGCTAATTCTTTACTTTGCAGTCTAATTGTAAGCACATACACAAGCATACCAAGCACTCTTTCTCATAAACAACTCTCTTATACAAAGAATAATAATAAATAATATATGTACACTACACATATGATAATAAATATAGTATTTGAGTTATTAATTATGTATTTACACTTAAGCAATTTATAAATTCAAGTTACGTAAAGGTCTATGGTTCACATTACTTTATAATTCGGGGTATTACTGTACTCTTTATTTTTGTAATCCTTTCATTAAGTAATTTTAAATTTATCCATATTTTATAGTGTTTTCCAATCATTATATAAGATAATTAAAAGAAAAATGAACATTTGCACATATTTTAACAAATCTTTATTTCTATAATCAGAAAATGTCATTTTCCCAATTATTTTATTGTGATTAAGATAGAAAATTTTAAATCATTCATCAAGAACAACTATTGTGCATTTTAAACTTGATTTAAAGACCAATAAGTGTGAAGATAATAAAATGAATCTAATAAGTAAAGTAATTTTCATTTATCAACTCCCATGTTAATTTTAAAAAATAGAACAAAAAATTATTTTTTTTTTTATTTAATTTTGTAATTAGAAAAATTATCAGCCTTTAGAAAATTTTGACAAACTTTAATTGAAATGTCTTCTGACATTTCAATTGAAATTTTGACAAACTTTAATTGAAATAGTTAATTGACAAAGAGAGATGAATAGAGATGTAAATTGGATTTTACAATGAATATGAATTTAGAAGTTTCGAAAAACATATGTGACCCTTATATATGAGAATTCAATACAATGACTGTTTTTCTTTTCTCTCTCTTCTCCATCTATGACAGGAAATATTTGATACGATAAGCATTGACCAATATAAGTGACTTCATAGAGTACTAATCCCAGAAATTACAAAGCTTTTACATAATAATGATTGTCAGCAATTTTCTACAAGCCTTCTATTGTGCTATCTTGTTAACAATAGTGTTAGACTTTATTTATTATGGTACAAATAGAAAGGCATGATTAGTGAATACAGGCATTTACATTGTTAGAAAATGCAATCCCAAGTAGATTTTTTCAACTTTCACAATGATCAAGCAAGACAGGAATTTATCAGAGCTAAAAATAAAAGAATTGTGTAAAATAAAGCAAAATATGTGACTCTTTCAAAAAAGAATTGTAATAAATAATTATTGTATGAGTACTATACTTTATTTAATATTTTAGTATTATGTATTTTTTACGTTGAAGTTGAAATTTAATCTCTGCATTGCAGATTACAATGAAAAACTATTGCTTGTTTTTAACAAATTAGAGAGATTTTGTTTTTTATTGATTATTTCTTATTATTCATATGTATTAAATTTCTACACTAACCTTTTTTATTTATTTAGATATTTGTTTTTAATCTTTTCCTACCAGATATTGGTTATCCAAAATTGCCCTTCCTGATATCAGATAATCAGTGCTTTGTTATATTCTAACTACGAGTGTGATGTTCTCGAAATTCCTGTGTACTGTTATAGATTGTTCCTGTGTACTGTAATAGATTGAAACCTACAAGCAATTGCTTGTAGATTTCAGTCTATTTTCTTTGCTTTAATTGTGTTATCCCTTTGTCAGGAATAGTTCTATTTGTTCTAATGTCATGTACTTACAAGTTTAGTAAAGTTTATATCCATTTTATTGGTGATTATAGTTCTGTTTTACTTATTATCTGCTTATTTATTTTATTGTCTTAACTAACTGCATTTTCATACCAGTAAATTAGAAATATACAGTAACTTACATATATGCTTCTCTTATTTTGTGTTTGTAATTCTCATTTTATACTAATTTTTTTTATATAATTGTGAATAACATCATTCTAAATTAAATATAATTGAAAATGTTAATCATTCAAGGATAGGTAAATCAGTATTTTGTAACAGTTTATGCTCTATTATCTAGGGAACATGGATAAAGTAATATTATGCCAGAATGAAATACAAATTTTGACTAGAAGAAATATTGGATAAGCTCATCCTTACTTATAAGATTTTGATTTTCAAGAAATTTTTAGGAATGAGATAAACCTGTAAATTGGGATTACACTGTTTATAAATGGAAGAGATTCTTTGAAAACATTTGAGATAAAAATTAATTTATAATTTTAGTTTCTTTTTCATTGTATTTCATTGAAAGTAACAATCTGTTGATATTTTATAATTAAGCAGTTATTTTGTTTAAACAGCATTAAAAAATTAAGTACATGTATAATTTTTTTAAACATTATGGTACTCTGTTTTCATTTTAAAGTATGAATTGGTGTGATTCTAAATAAGTATTGTTGGAGCTTTTGCATTCTATAATTTTTCATCTGGAAACAACAAAATAGAACTGAATATGAAAGGGTAACAGTTTTATTTGCCTCATTTGGAAGTTTTGAGTCAACTTTATGGAAATAATAGTGACATGGTGACCTATTTGGAAATGCTACATCTGTATTTGTTACCTCCATTAGAAGATTATCAGCCAAAAGTGATATTCCTGAAAAATGGTATCTGACTGACCAAGAATTTCTTGACATGCATTCTGCTGTGTGTGTCTTGTGCACCAATTCCATTACCTTCACACTCACTTGAAATTAAGTAAGTTGATTTCATTCTATGATGATATGTAAAGAGCATTGTTTACAAGACTTCTGTGACTTCCCTCAATGAATTGGAGCTCAGAATTATTGCTGTGATAGAGACAGTTGTGTTGCATTGCTAGAGAACATTTGGAAGGAAATTGATTCTCTTGAAAATCATAAAAGTATGCATGCATGTTGAAGTTGTTTCTGTACTATTTATTCTGTATGCAACTTTCTGAGTCACACTTTCAAGTTCTATAAATAGTTTTATTTTGTTGTTTCTGGTTGGAGCATTATAGGACAGAGAAACCATGACAATAATTAGATTTATCCTATGTAATGTTAGATTCAGTGTACTGCTCATTAGTGATTTGTTCTTTAATTCTTGTGTTCTTATATTGTCAGATGTATCTTAGTGTTGCATTATGTTTGTAAAGTCAAATGAGTTAAACGAATGTGTTTAACTCATTTAGAAATGAATCGGTCAAAAAGTAGTAGTCTCGCTCAGTGTGCATGCTCTGCGATGATGATGTTTCGAACGAAACTCTAACAAAGTTCACAAAGGAAAGAGTTAGTTTACTTCTTTAAGAAAATGGTGCCCGACAATATCAATCTTTTTAAATCTACTTGAGTGTTTAAATTGTGAATTAAAAGGTGAAATGATTGAAATAACTGTCTACCTGAAGCAATCTAAGAAAAATATTTCGGATAAGGCTGCATTAGCAACATTCATATCTTCAATTTTAGAAACAACCATTTAGTTATAAACAAATCGGTTGAAAAATCTAACAAAATAAGAATAACAATGACGTCATTCTTGTTTAACTTGTTCGACTTTATGAACATATCCTAAGAATAGTATTTATATAAAATGAAATCTCTGTAATGGACATTTTCAAAACCAAAGAAACTGTCCATTATAGAGAAGTTACATAAAAATTATTTTTAAATGAAATATTCTTTAAATGTAGTGGCACTATTTTTATTTATGAACATATATCTGCAAGTACCCATATCATGCAAAAATATAATATGACACATTACAGTAAGTGGTGACTTATTTTAAGAGGGTTGATAATAATTATAAAAAATTAATTTGTTTGTTTGTTTCTTACAATTTAGCAATTGCTTCTCACTCTGCATAATTAAATTTTATGTTAACTCTGTACCACCTGCATCTTTTCTATTGATGTGAAACTGTTTGAACTCACATGGTTTGTGTCATGTCTATATGACTATTGGTGGCTTGTCTCATTTTGGCTGTGAAGTCATCATTGTTACTTTCTTTGTTCTCCCTTTCTTGAATCTCAAAGTAGCTGAAGAATTGTTTTTGTATCAGTTTGTGGACTATGTCAATGTAATAGTTTGCAGTGGTCGTAAATCCCATTGCATTCATGAGACCTGTCTTGAGAATAGTTGTGATAACTTCTATAATATTGTAAGCATAAATTTTTTGGAAGGAAATTCAGCTT